GTGGGGCCGTTGTAGCGGGCGGGGCCCGAAGTAGCGGGATAGGCCCGGAATAGTGGGCGTGGCCCAGTATATGTTGTATATGTTTGTGCAAGATATGTGGTAGGTTGAGGAACTCACTAAGCCTCGTGCTTACGGTTTTCAGTTTTGGATTCAGGTACTTCCGGTAGCGGATGGAAGAGCTCGAGGTGATCGCATGGCACACACCATTGATTAGTCAGCCTGGGATGTTTTACTCTGATAATGATAAATGTTTTGGAATTAATACTCTGAATTTATGTTATGACTTATGATATGTTTTTATGAATATGGATTTAATAATAACTTCAAGAAAAAATTTTGGTACGGATTTTTGGGACGTTACAAAAAGACTATGTTTGGCACATAGCAAGAAAGACTATCTTTGACACATAGCAAAAAGTGATTGTGAGACTATGTACGACCTGTAGCATTCACTTGGTTGAAATAAATCTGTTACACTTATGTATAATCACTTTTGATGTAAGTGGTATCTTGGGGAATTCACTAAGTTTTGTGATTACGGTTTAAATTTTAAATGTTTCAGGTGTTTCTGCATGCTTCTTCTTGCAAGTGGAAGGCACGGCGTGTTGGCATCACATCTGATTTTGTATTGTTGAAATTTTTTCACTTTGGTTTTATTATGACTCTAATTTTATGATGTGAACAGTTGGTTGATTATCTTTTTAGACTAAAATTAGTATGGTTTTCTTTATATTAAAAAGAAAATTTGGTTTAAAAAGTTGAGATATTACAACTATATTTCAATGTGGTCATATGATACCTAAAATGACAAAACATTTAATCACATTTGAGCTAAAAAAATAAAATGTGGCTAACGACATATGGCCACACTTTTTTGTTGGCCAATGTCGATTTTATTACTAGTGTCCTAAGAGAGTGAAAAAGAAGGGCTTTAGAGTTGCGGTCAGTTAAAGAGAAAGAGAGACTTATTCAAATTTTAGAGACTATAGACCATATAGGGACAACTTGTTGTCCGTACACCCTCAGATAAAACGAAGTCGCTCAAAATTTACGATTAAAAAGATTAACATAAATTTATATATTTAATTTAATTTGTTTTTGGCATGATGTATCATCCTTATAGCTTTTTGGAAACCCACCAACATTTTTTTCATTCCCACCTTACCCATAGAGACAATATGTCGGCGACGTAACTATCCCTATATTCCAAAACCCAAAAAAAAAAAAAAAAAAAAAAAAAAAAAAAAAAAAAAATCTTTACAAATTGAAAATCCATAACATCTTTGTTTGCGAAAAATCTCAGTATAATAAAAAAAAATTGCAGAAATTTACAGATGTTTCAAAATACAAAACTCTAAGGATGTCATAATCAATACACAACATAGTTGCAGCGTAAAGACTTGTGGTCCTGAACTCTATTGCATGTCTTTTCTCCAATCACTCAACATCTTATTTAAATCTTCAGCAGTCTTAACACCGCTACTATGATGCATAAAAATTGAGTGGGTCAGGTTGGGAAACATGGTGAATTACTTAGGGTGTTGAATCCAAAAATGTTATATTCATCAATAACCTGCAAAAATAATTTTCATCCAACAACTCAACATAATCATCTAGTAAACATTTCCTTGAAACTACCCACGTTGTCAATCCTCACATACTTATCCTAATACAGTGATCTTATAAGATCTATCCTGATGGATCACTGTAGATAGTTATTTAACTATACTGCCTTAGGGTGTCCTTAGCAGCAAACACTAATCAATGAAGGTAACTATAAGGGGGATGGAGTGCATCAAATGAACACATAATCCATTAACACCTACAAACTATAAGTCTATTAGCGTATTCCACAAGACTAGGTTTAGTTAGTGGTCGTCATCTCGCTCTGGTAGATAACTTCTAATCCTTTTGTTTGATATATAGACCGGTCATCCAAGCGCCTATAGGCTGCCTGAACTAGACATACCTAGAAGTGATCCAATATAGACAGAACATATATGACTATCTAAGTATGAGCGGGATACTTAATATAGTACTCGTGTACGTAAAACGTAAAACGTGTCACATGTCATCATCTGGGCCATCTAATTTTTAATTATTTTGTAAAATTCATAATTTTCACATACAAGCTCCGTTTTCAAAGGTCTTTATATATATATATATATATATATATATATATATATATATATATATATATATATATATATATATATATATATATATATATATATATATATATATATATATATCCACGAGTACTACAATTTTGATTTAGACTTCGTCAGCTACTTTTCACTTTATTTTTCGTGTTTCGGTTCGAGGAATTTTAGACTATAAATAACGTTATGAAATTCATAACTTCTTCATATGAATTCCATTTTCAACTGTCTTTATATCGTTGGTCTCATATTGAAGTGTACTACAACTTTCATTTAGACGTTGTCAGCTAATTCTCATTCTATTTCAATTTTACATATCTAAACAGATTTCACATGTGTTTTGAAACTTAGGGACCAAGTTTCACTTATATAGCTCACATACGAGTTCCGTTCTAGACTGTCTTTATACCGAAAATTCGTATTTATGAGATTTTCAACTCTCGTTTACATTGTTTTGGCTAACAATCAATTACTTTTAAATTTCGATTTCTGTATCGCACACTATTGTACTATGTCATACTCGAAATTTTGAAAAATCATAACTTCTTCATACGAATTTTGCTTTTGGTGTTCTTTACATCGACAAGTTCCTATGAACGAGCACTACAAATTTTTTTAGATCACTTGGGATAAAAAAAAACAACTTATCTTCAATTCACTTTTTATAGCGCACCTTGTCATATCGGTTTGAACACAAAACTTAGATAAATCATAACTTCCTCATACGAAGTCAGATTTAAATGTTCTTTATATCCAAAAAAATCATCATAACGACAACTACAACTTTCATCAATACTATTTATCATAAATAGTCTTTTATTTTTAGACACTTATTTGACATAATTTGTTAATTTTCTAGATATGTTTTATTCAAATATTATAAGCCCGTAATATTTAACCATAAAACATGTATGTAGTATAAATATATTTTATATAATTTATAAACCCTTAAAATGTCTACCTTGAATTCGTGAGTGTTACATATTATTCAACCCTATTGCTATGACACGTCGTTCCCTATAGGCTCTTAATCACGACGAATTGTGTTGTACCTATAGGTTTCGTCTCTATAGAGTTTTATTCTTATAGTTATGTAATTTCTTTTTGTTTATTTTGTATAATCAGATTCAAGATCAAGTTTCGGGAGTTTTATGTTTTCAGTTATTGAAAATAGGGGAAATATCACTATAACCCTATATAAACTAACATGATTTGGTTTAAAAGGTCCATCAATCTAAAGTTTGGCAGTACAAGGGCATGAACTTGATTATTATTGGCCAATTTGGTCACTTTAACCTTTTTTTATTCGGTTTATGTTCCAAATAAGGTCTAATTATGTCATGTACTCTCCTGGTTCACCTACATGTTCATTGACTTTCGACGGCTACCATAGCTATCTGATTATATCTTATTATGCCTTTCAAGGTTGTGATTTCAAACCAAATAAAAGCCATAGAGACACCAACAGTAGTGGGTTGTACTCTCAGCATCACCAATACTGGCCACATCAGGTCCAACACATTTCATTACTGAAGAACTTCTAATAAATAGTTCATCATTCTTTAGAAGGAATTTAATAAAAGTAACAAAAATATTAGAACCCTCCATCAAGTTGGGCCATTTTGAAATTCCCAGTCAATCTATTGATCCATATTCCTTATGTGACAATTTCAAATGGGTTCTTTAACCTCTTCTCTTGTGTACATCACTCCTTGTGCAACTTGGTTAAGGATAACTTAACCAGGAGGATCCACAAGATAACACTTTACCGCTGGATCATTTTCTTTTAAAAATCAAGAAACACTACCCACGGTGCTATATGTCCCTGCAGCTACAACAAAAGCTTGTAATTTGCCTCTTGTCTCCTCCCATATCTCAAACCTAGTTCCTTCATAGTGATCTTTATAGTTTGTTATGTTCTCAGATTGATCTGCAAAGAAGACATGTTAGAAGCCCTAAAATTGGTAGAGAATATCGAGTTAACCTCTTTAATTTTGCTTGAAATGTAACCCATCAGTTTCTAGAACATCTAAATTTCCTGAGCTCCGTTACAACCTAAATCTAGAAATTAGGAAAAATATTGGGTTTGAAGATGACAGATTGTGATGCAGAACACCAATCCGATTTATGTTTGTTGCTTCAAACCTAAAAATGATGGGTCTTTAACCTCTTCCCTCCAGCATCTTCTCTCGTGTATATCACTCCTCTTGTAAGGGTTGTTGCATTGTGATTTAAATCATTTTTCAAATCTAATGCAGGTGAATGATGATGGTGATTGGTGGTAAGAGGACGATGGTGGTGGGTTGATCGTGGGAGATGGTTGGTGGTAGAGTTTGAAGTTCACAGACTTGTGTTAAAGAGCATCTAAAATCGTGAATAAATCCATTTGATGGAATCAGAGCACGAAGATTTCTAATCACAATCTTGAATTAGTGAGATAGAGAAATCGATGTATTGAAATAGATAAGTTGTGATTCATAGGAAAGGAAAAACAACACAGATGAAGGAGCAATGGTTTTTCTGGGATGAAGATGATTGGATGGTGATTTGGCATTAAAGGTAAAGGTACCTTAAATTTTATATAAGTGGCATCTAATCTGACATAGTAACCAGTTAAAACAGGTTTTAGGTACTTAATAAACAGGTTAATATGGATTTTATTCCTTTTAAGAGGATGACTTAAAAGACACTTTAAAATTATTATATTCTTTTATTAATCAGTTCCCCCGTATAGAAATATGATTATAAGTACAAGTATATGTACATATATATGGCCTTTATCTTATATTTGAAATAAAAATTTAACCAACATCTAATATAACAATACAAGATGATCTTCTAAAACACAAGCAAAGAGTTGTTTATATCATAACCCAACTTTTCTAAATTAGGGTTGATTGCGAACTGAATCATGGGTGGTGGTCCACAAGCCAAAGCCAATGTATCTTCAGAAGCCTTCGGAATATGTTCCCTCATGACATCTTCGGTGATGAACCCTTCACTGTATTTCCACCCTTCTCTTATCGACTTAGAAACAACATACCACACCTTCACCCTTTCTTTATACTTATATACCCATGCATCCAGTTCTTCCCTCAACAATATATCATCTTCGGTTCGATTTGCATACACTACATACATCTCTGTATCATCCTCTGGATCCTTCAAGATCGCCTGCATCACTTGATATATCGGTGTGATCCCCGTTCCACCTGCAAACATGGCTAATTTCTTGGCAAACTTTTGTTTTCCATGAACTGAAAATGTCCCCCTACCTATGTATTCGATGTGACCCAATGGACCTTTGATCTCCAATAAAGAACCTAGTGTCATTGACTCTAGATATTGCGACATGAGCCCTCCATTCGGAAACTTGGGTTCCACACCTTTGAAGTAGATTTTAACCAACAACTCGAAGTAGCCAACTTCATCAATGGTGCTCGTTGGTGTGTAGGCCCTCATGCACAACTTATCATCAATGGTGGCATATAAAAATATATGTTTCCCTACTGGTAACCCAAGAACATGATCCGATGATGGGAGGGCAAACCTGAATAGCCTCACGTCATGAGAAACCGATGTTTTTGAAACGAGTTTGCAAGGGATCTTTTCACGAGGGATTAAGGCTACGTTTCTTGTGGGTGTAATTTCTTTAATGGTGGCTAAATGTGACGCGATGTAATTGGTGGCACCATGGACGGAGTTATTTGGTGATGATGCAGCAGAATCCGAACTGTAACCCGTGGTTATGAGCTCACCGATTCTGTACTCCTCCAACAGTTTCTTGGCTTTGTCTGAATGAATTGCATCAAACTCTTCGGTGCAATCAGTTCCAGCATTAATGAGTATGCTGTCGCTGCCACCTGGATGATCTTTAAGGAAGGAAGTGCAGTCGTAGATGTGGCCATGGATGACGATCCATGCAGAGTCAGCGGAGGTGTGTTTCTTGACTTCAGACATGGTGAAGGTTAAAGATGTGGTGTTCATGAATGGAGATGATACACTCTTTTTGAGAGTTGGGTGTGCTAATTCTGTTGAAATCTCGAGGTGTTTCTCACGCGCCATCCATCCACCGGACTGGTTTCCTGGTTGGGTTGGGTGCTCGAATACAATGCCAATTTCGCCTTTATGTGGTTTACACATGTTGGTCTTCACTCTAAACCAACAGTTGTTCATCATACCCTGTATAAATTCAATATAATTAGCTTTGCAACATGAAATGAATTAATGTTGTTCCTGTAATTTTGATATTTGTTTGACTTCGGACAGAATTAATGTTGTTACTATAATTTTGATATTTGTTTGACTTCAGACAGAATTATATATACACCAACAATTTTCATTAGTTTATTAATTTAATTCTTTTATCACATAAGTCAATTAGTTTCCATATTGTTCTCCATTTTTTTTTACATTTTTACATTTGACCGAAATATAACAAAAATATAATATATTTTGATCATTTTTTAATTTAAATATCTAAATACTATATTTTATATTGATTGAGCTATTAATAATTGTTAATATTATAATAAATATATATTGATAGTTTGGTGACTAAATTGACATAATAATGTATTTTACTTTTAAGCAAAACTTTATAGAATGGAAAATTGATTTTAGAGTATTAAAAAAACATCTAATATCTTAATAAGTATAGCAAAATACGTTATGCTTTAATTTTTTGATTTTTTTATCATGAGATTCGAAGTGTGATTATTTTATTGTTTGATGATTATTAAAATAGCATAGCATAGTTGATGTTCTACACGTATATATAATTCACGTTTGGCATGAAAACACAATTGCAAATGCAATAAATATCCGAGTAAAAAAGGAAATCTTTTAAAGAGAAAAACGATAAGCTCATCCTAAAGAACAACCACAAATATCTCATGAAGCCATAGATTTCCAATGATGTAATAACATAACAAATCCTATATATTTTTAGTGTAAAAAAAGGATAATGGCGGACAAGTATCTACTATATGTCCTATTTATGCATATATAAAATACAAAATATATTAATATTAATCAAGAAATAGTTAAGTATCTTCATTATCTTGCTACATTTATTTGTTTGAATTACAATAGTATGTCATGTAATAATTAATACACAAGATATCATATTGGTCTAGTGGTCGTTTTGTTTTTTTTTTTCTAGTTCTTTTTTTTTTGGTGGAGGTTTTATTTGAATTCTTTATTCATTTTTATTAATTAAACCCAAAAATGAAATATAAATGTATTATGAAAAAGTAAGTAGGTTACCATTAGATTCCAAATGAGCTTGTCTGGTTGGGTGTTGAGGGTCTCATCCCAGGCTCGAACTGCTATCTCTTTGGTACTAAGAAGGTCCAAAACTTCAACTTCTAACGACCAAAAACACCAACACCAATATTTGGCATATCTTGTTGGCTTCTCTTTATGATCCAATGTACAAACGTTCCATGTCTCTCCTCCATCCATTGTTACTTCGACACGTGTCACGTTCTTCCCACCTCCTATGAACCACCCAAGTAAATTCTCTTAATTAATTAAAAGTCAAATCCTATATCCAACACACTTGGAGACTAATATATTGTTGGACTTTTCAAATTAATATTATTGGTCATCTTTTCTTATAATATTTAATTAATGTGTTTGGTTTTGTTTATGTAAATTACAAACAAGAATATGAAAGGTATATATATTAATTAATTACTTTAGTAATTTAGAATAATTAATCAACTAGTTAATTATCCCTTTTACGTTTTTATCACGAAAAGTTGTATTTGCAAACTTGCAAGTTGTCATGTCATGTAAAGCTTGTTTTTTTTAACTGTAGAATCAGTATTTATAAATCCAGTGTCCTTAAGCGAAGTTTTATTATTTAATTATTTCTTAATATATCTTTCAATTAAAAAAACCATTAAAAAAAAACTAAAGTTAACAATTTAAAAATAAAGATTACTATATGATGACCCGAGGCTTTAAAAAACAATTGATGTTTTATTAACTTTTATAAAATGTAATATACAATCAGGGTAGCTGTGATTATTTTGCAACGTAACCAGTGGTAATTAAATTAACTAATTAGTGAATAATTCAAACACGGAATCTCATTAAATATCTTTAATGCGACTTAAAAAAAAAAAAACTATATGTTAATAGTTAAGAGATAAAAAAAAACATAAATTTATTACCAGAATATGCATAGCCTCTCAGGGTGTAAGGTCTTTGAGTAGTCCATGAATTTATCGGTAAAATCTCTTCGTGACAAGGTGTTGTAATCACCGAGTTTATGTTGAGCTCGTTGATGATGTATTCTGGCTTATACCACCAACCTAATTCAAATCAAATCATACTAAAAGTCAAAATCACAAAACATTGATATGCATGAATTATATATATTGTATATCAGACAATGATTCTATACTCAAAAGGCTTCTAGTTTGAAAATTGGCAACTAGTATTAATAATTGGCAGTTAGTATTAATTAGTATTGTTAGCCTTTTGTTCTTAGATTGACATTTGAAGTCACGCATGATATACAGCTATGAATTAGATGTAGTTTAATAGTAGTATATGCTCTCTTTTTTTTTTTTTAAAAAGTCTGAGTCTTATGAATCAACAACTGATGTGATAGACTCATATCACATTCACAAACATCATCATCTTCTTTTTGGAGATGTGAAACAAAAGTCGGGTATTAATTTACGTATAAAATAATGTGTATGAATTACCTTCGGAGTTGGCTAACTCCGCATCCACATGCGACGGCAACACACGGTTGTCTTTGTAGTGGTAATAATTCTCCGACTCCGGCGTCGTTACTATGATACGCTTCAACCACTTCACCATCCTTCCACCGATGCATCCCGGAATAATCATTCTCACCGGGAATCCATGATCAGGCAACAACTTTTCTCCGTTTTGCATGTAAGCCAAAATGATATCTCTCGCCGGATCCATTGCAACCTCGATCTTTATGCTGGTTCCGTATTTGGAACCGCCTCCGCCGGGTAGATTCTCCGCCCCTTCAAAACACACATTGAGCGCGCCTTTCTTCCGGCTGTAAATCCCACATCTTTTCAAGATGCTGACCAATGGCACCCCTTTCCAAACTGAGGTCGCGATACCGGCGGCGCCCCAGTTGAACCCTATGGTTTGTTTCGTCAGATTCTGCTCTTTCCGACGGTTTCCGGCGCAGACTAACGACACCGGAAACTCCCTGCTGGGAAACTCGTTGACAAGCTGAGTCATGTTGAAACGCGCAGGTCGTTTAACCAAACCGCATATCTCCACCGTCCAATCCTCCCAGGTGGCGTTCGGAACTGGACCATGGTTGCGGACGTAATGAAGAGGAGCAGGGGTGATGAACCCATGTTGCATGAGCTTAGTCAAAGGTGGCTCGGCGTTGAATGGGTGTTTTCCGGTGAGTCGAACCATTGATTGGTTGCGCTCGATCCATTGATCCGCAGTGCCTTGATCTCTGGAGTCAAAAACGGAGCTTTCCAACTCGGAGTTGGACTTCTTAATGGCATCACGATAGTCTCCTTCGTCTTCCTCATCGTCACTAGATTCGTAAGTTTCAGGGGGAAGCTTCTTAGGCGTCATAAACTCTCTAGCAGCAGCTGGATAGTTGAATCCACGGATGGGTGACTCAGAACGAACAACACCAGCGGCGGATACACCAAGCTCGTGGCGGAAGTTGCGGTTTTCGACTGAGGTCGCCATTTTCTTGTGTATCCAATGTGCCTGAGAAAAGTGAGACACACACAAGGTTGCCTTAATCAACACTTATACGTGTGTGTATATATATACAATGAAGGAAACCATGGACTAGTAATATAAATATCCTCCTCACATCTCGTGTTTTGTCGTTTTGTTTTGGAATGGGTAAAGAAAGGTCATAAAACCAAACCAACAGGAATAGAAAGAGGCGACTCGGACAACATTAGATGGCCTTTTGGTGAATCAGGAGTCACCCACCCTTATTTGTTTTCATACTAGACGTATACGTGCGTTGTGCAAAAATTTAATATAACCTTTGAGTAGGTTAAATTATTTATACTAAACTTACATTAAGTGATTATTAAATATATTTTTTTTTAAAAACTGCAAAATATATTAATAGAACCCGAAACCTAGCAAGAAACTAGGCATGGGAAAAACAAGAAAACAAATGAAATAGTTTTTAAAGTTATTACATATGGAAAACAAGGAAGAAATTTCAATCTATCCAATCACCAGTAATACAATTACCCCAACATTTGAGTCATAAATATGTTAACGATTTGATGTTATAAATCCCCCTGGATGTTGTGGTAGCGACTCCATGAAATACTTTGTCATTGCTGGTTTTTCAAAGACTTCATATCAATTCGTAGCATATACATAGTAGTTTAATACGTTTTTTGGGGCATCGACCCCACGAGGCTGCAAATTGAAGTAGGTCACCAACATTATTGAAATTTGTTTTTTTATTCCAAACCATTTGAAAATTTTGTCTCTTATATAATTTGTGTATGGACAACTGATGAGAATGTGATCAGTGTATTCATCTCCTTCGATACATGGGCTACACTATGTTGAATCGATATTCATGCCACGATGTTGTAGTGTTGTAGCAGATGGTATACGTCCTTGTGCAGCTCTCCAAGCGAAACAAAGTACCTTAATGGGGATAATCTTACACCAACTGATCTGCGGGAGAATAATGGATTGATGTGAATTTAGGTCTATTTTCTGCTTGAGAGCTTCCACGGTGTATCTTACCTCTGGCGTTAACAAGCACACCCATTTGTCTTGTCCGGGTTGTATTTTAAATGAAGCAATCTCCCGATAAAACTGATGGGTTTTGGCCATAAGAACATCCTATGTGCTCATACAAACCCTAATGTTTGGATCTAGGTTTCTCTATTGTACATGCAAGTTATCCAAGACTATAAACCCTAATTCTAGCATTCAAGTAATCATATTAACATGAGAATAGGTTTAAGATCATACCTTGATTGTTATGTAGCAATAACAATCCCAATTCCTCCTTGTATTGACTTTAGAAAGCTTAGAGTCACAAATACCACTCCTCTAATGATTCACAAACACCAAGGGCAAGAGGATGAAGAGGAGAGAGGATGGAGGTTGCCCTAAAACGTGTGAAACCCTAGAAGGATGCTTAGCCACGTTTTTGGGTCATAATGGATGTATATATAGTTAGGCTATTAGGGTTATCTACCAAGGAAACCCTAATTTGGATGCTTAAGCCCTAAGCAATCCATGGACCCCCTTTCCTTAAGGCCTTGGATGATTTCTCATGAGTTTCCCCATAGAATTCGTCCACCCCTTAATATAAGGCAATCCATAGCCCAAATTGCAATTATCTTATAATTACAATTCCAGTCTCTTATGTTTAATTAATCTCTTTTAGTCACAAAACTAATTACCAATTAATTCTTGACTAATATTAATTAAACAATATGATTTCTCCTTTAATATATTATTCTCATATGTATTAATAAATCATATTTAATCCTTTCTCTCCATAATTGATCCTATCAAGTTGCTTTGGTGAAGGCAACCCAAAAAGACCATGCACCATCGGGTCAAGTACATACCAAAATAGTTATGGACTTAGATACTAATCCAACAGTCTCTTACTTGGATAAGTCTAATAACTATTATGTGTATGACTTCAGATCCTGATCTGCAATCGTAGCTTTCCAAAGCCACTGTCAACTCTGATCCTATCAGATACGTGTGTCCTTTAGATAAGGGATCATATATTCCTCCATTCTAGATATCGTATGAGATATGATTTCTAATCATTCTCTTTGTACTATTTCTCAACTTCCGATTTATGACGACTCACTAATTGAACAAATCAAATTAGCCCTAGCCCGGCCGAGCATTTACGTTTTTCATCACTAAATCATCGAGGGGCCCAAAGATATCGCTTTTATCCTACGTTGGATAAAAGGAACGGATAAAATTTGATACAATGCTTGCTTGTACTCACTCACCGAATCACACACAACAATATGTTTTATAACACCAAGTTACTAGTGCGTTTACATATTATCAATGCGCAATCGATTTGCAAGATACAACTCACACATCTCGGTTTCAAGAATATAAGATGTTATCGTCTCACCAATCACTCGTGATACAATTCATGGAGTGATCCAAGTGAGCGTGGGTTTAATCCAATGCTCAAATTCATATTAATAAGCACTCATGAACGCTGCAGCAAACATTTGCTTATGTCTAAAACTCTTTTAGACAAGCCACACACCAATTCACGACAGTCTTCATTCATACCTACTTCCAACATATGAACGATTGTGGTCTGTTCGAATAATTTGACTGTTCTAAACCAATTAAATTATTCAGGAAGTCAAAACATGCAAAACGAAACACAAGAATAATACTAATCCCATATGGCCTCAAACCTTTGAGCATAAATAAAACACCTTTTATTTATCACCATATTGATTACTCATTATTTGTCGTTTCGGGTAATCGACTTCTTACTTGAATTATTACACTTGTCCCATGCTCCTAGCATGCATACAATGTTTACCTATGGTTCTTTCTTTGTGAAATAGATCAAATTGAACACATTTCCAATCATTCTCATTTCACAACTCCAAATCCTTTTTCCATAAGTGAAAGAATATCAAATTCTTGTTACTTATAGAATATGCTAGATTCTAACATTTTATGCAATGATCCTTTCGTAATATCACTGCACCAAAGTCACAAAGACTATTGCAAATGATATTACAAAGTCCTCTATCGGAGATTGTTACAAGACAATTCCTTAGATATGATGTCTCTCACTCAAAGTGCATTCCTTTGAACATCCTTTTGCATAAATGTTTCTAATCTAGACATAGATTTTCAATATTCAATTCCTAATATGGACACGTTTCCATATTTTCCATATGACAACTTATTCTTAATAGAATCTTATCTATTCATAATAATGTCGATATGGTCCATCCAATATGGAAACATTTCCATATTTTCCATATGACAACTCATTCTTAATAGAATCTTTTCTATTCATAATAATGTCGATATGGTCCATCCAATACCATGCTTCCAACTACTCACAAGCAACAATCCTCGTCGAACTTTGGATTGTCCTTTGATAGTTGTTTAATTATTTTAGTCAAAACCGATTCTAGTCCCTTTTCCCTCTAAATGCGCTAAACATTTGGAAAATTTTAGAATGGTCAAATATTAAAGCATTTGCAATCGATCCTATACCTGAAGCGTATGGGACACGATGCATAATGTTTTATTTGCTATGTTCTCAAAATTCGAATTGTGAAGAGGAATGTCGTAATCATAATCGAAATTTTAAGAACACACTATGTACCTTTGACTAAATTTATTAACATTCCACAACCTAAGTCTTTAGATTTGAAATGAAGCATAATATTCTCTCCCTTAATTATAGCAAAACAACTATTCCATCCTTACAATTTTGCAAAGAATGACTCTTGTTTTCTATAATTAATATTGCCAACTTGCAATACTTTCCTTAATAATCATACAATCATAACATTTATGCTCCCACTATCATGATGATTATTATAAAACATAACACTTATGCTCCCACTAGCTTCGACATGAATTCATAAACATCTTAACTTTCAGAAAAACAATACCTATTGAATTTCTTAAGTCCATGTTTCTAATATATAATGCTTTGATAATCTTTTATCAAGGCTTCTTGAACTTATACACCTTTGCCTTAGATAGTTCATATGTGTGTCTAAACAATTAAGACTAATTGCCAAACCTCACAATTCAAATTATGGAAAGGGATACCGTAACCATAATCGAATTCGAGAATGCTATTTTACAATCACTATCTTCTTAAAATCTTTCTTAGTGAAAGCATTTCCTCACAATCATTTTCATGAAGGAGGAAATCTTATGACACTTAGATTTAAATGGTGTATGTGTTCCTATTCATGTGAATTTGTTAAAACCAAAGTTTACGACAAATTCAAACTCATATGGACCGAACTTTCTTAATCTTGATTTCTTGCCTTATGGTAGCACAGTTGCCCACCATGTCTTCCAAGTAGTTAAGCAGTTCACCGTTGCCTATCAAAATACTTTCCATTGATCAAGGTCCTGGCTATTTATGCATTCAAACGAGAACTCATAGGACTCATATGCACAATTAACTCAATTGGAATGGCATAGAAAACAAAATAGTATCAACACGATAGGTTGTAAACCTCAACTCGTGTGCTAGTGATGATCGATAAGGTTTATATGATTTGTTCTTGAAACCTTTCAAGACCATTAAGACTCCCACTGACTCCTTGACATATAAAATTCTTTTGTCAATAACCATTTCTTGACAAACAAATATTCAAGAGTTAGTGTAGCTTTTATCAAAACACTTCATAAATCGGTCCTAGTTGGTCTTTGTCTTATCCAAGACATCACAACTTTCCACCTTTGATGAACGTTATAAACCTTTTAATACTTGTCACTCATTATCACAATCTTAAATCTAAGACTTGTTTTGGAACGAAGTATGATTGACTTCTTGATTTAACCATTTCTTCAATTCTTGATTCCTCTTCTTAAACATACAATTGTACTAAGACTCACTTAGAGGATCATTTGAGATATGGTTCTTAATCATTAAGACCTATCATAAAACATAATAGGTACTCTCCCTTCTTCTTAGAACGGAGAAACTTTTA